AGTAAGGTTATTGTGTTCATTTCTCATGGCTGGTGTGAACAGTGCGGTGACTTGCAAGGGGTATTGGGGAGTGCGTCAAGGAGAGATGGGTCATGGGGCGGGGCTGAGACAAGTCGTAAGGTCTACCACACTGATAGTTTCGTTGTAAGTAATCAGTGTTTTATCAACACGTTTCATATTTGTTATCATTCATATAAATAAAACATTATCCTTTTTTGTTTATTATATATGCGGTCATATGTCGTACAGTTAGCATCACAGTTTGCTGCAACGGAAGGCGAGAGCCTACTTATGCAGTGGGACCTAAAGTTTTTTACAATGCAATGTTTCTGCTTTGATGGAGACCATAGTTATTATGTCATTGTAGTATATTTTTAAAGATGCTCAGGGTTAGTCATACAGCTATGTTTGTCTTTGATACCCCCAAAATGTTCTACATTACGGAGGGTATACGCAAACACTTGTTATCTTGAAAATAGGTTCTTATTCTCGTACGGGAGATATACAGTTGTACCCCACTTAACGCGGTCAATTGAACCCAGAGGGTCCCGTGTTAAGTGAAATCCGCGTTAAGTGAACAACAGAACATATGGGATTAATTCCAATAGAAACCAGCCCGACCCCCAAACTCCACTTTTTGACGACACATAACTATGTTGTAGTAAAAATTTTATCTTAACTTTATGATGGTATGAAAAAACAAGTAATATAGAAGAGGTTGGGTTAGGAAAAATAAAGGTTAACATAGGAAAAATGAAGGTTAAGTTAGAGAAACTAAAAGTTAGGTGGAACACTTACGGTAGTAGAAGAGATGGGTCGGCATACGGGGATGGAGGCTGGTTCCGAGGCAGAGGGCAGATTACTGGCCCTCAGGTGAATCACCATTACTAGGTGAATCACCATCACTGTCACTTACAGTTGTCAGGGCTTCCCTGACAAATCCCTCAAAGTCAACTTCACTGTCACTATCACTGGCTTGGGCTGGCTGTGGTGGGTTGCGGGCGAAGAACTCGGTTATGCTTTTTTGACGGCTGGTGTTTATGTTGTCATGATACACCGTGATGTACGGCTCCATAGCCTGCACCAGCCGGGTATGGAAGACTTCATAGCGGTCATCGTCATTGTCGCGGGAAAGGACGGACTTAATTTTCTCTGCAAACTCTATGGCACACTTAATATCACTATGACTTAAACTAGGTTCTTCGGAGAATGACGCACCTTCTTCCTCCTCTTCACTGGCGTGTTCTTCTTCCAACATCTCGTCGGCAGTCACTTCAGGATCTCTGATCACCTCCAGGATGTCTTCGTTGGTGGTCTCGGAGAAGCCTTCAGCTGTAATATTGAGCGCAGCTTCTCTGGCAAGGTCCACTGCTACTGCAACAGTCTGAACCTCACCAGTCACAGGTTCACTCCTCCTCTCACCTGGTATGCCATGCAACACATGTCTCCATGCGTGACGAATCGTAGCAATAGTCAGCAGATCCCATGCCTCCACCAAGAAGTCTACAGCTTGTTTAACGTTAAACTTCTTCCAAAATTGTTTGACGAGAAGTTCTTGAGTCACCACCTCTTGTTCCTTGTCCTCGTCGCTTTTGCTCTCGCTGTCGGTGTCACCCAGCTTACGCAACTCATCCTTGGTGTTGGTAGAGTCGTTCAGGAGCTTGAACTTCTTTGCAGAGTACGCAGCTTTCACATTGCAGATCAACTCCTGGTCCATGGGCTGGATTAATGACGTAGTGTTGGGAGGAAGGAAGACCACTTTTACGTTGGGGTGACGATCCATAAGTAGGGGCGAGTGTCCAGGTGCGTTGTCAAGGAGCAACAAAATATTGAATGAAACATTCTGTTGCTCGCAGAATTTCTTCACGTCGGGAACAAAACAGTTGTCAAACCAGAAGAGGGACAGAGAAGAGGACATCCACGCCTTACGTGCGGTTAGCCAGTGGACATTAAGCTTGTTCATGTCCATATTCTTGTAGGCGTGCGGCTTGCGGGCTGTGTGAATCACCGATAACTTTGGTTTACAGGTACCGGAGGCATTGGTGGTAAACAGGACGGTGATGCGTTCCTTCTGCAACTTCCGACCCCTTACCTTGCTGGCAGACTGGACAACGAAGGTCTTGGAAGGTAACTTTTTCCAGAAAAGACCAGATTCGTCCATGTTAAACACCTGGTTGTCAGTGTACTGTCCTTCCTCCATAATCTCACGTAAGAACGGAGGAAAATCTCTAGCCGCCACACGGTCAGCACTCGCTTCCTCACCACCAATGTTGATGTTGGTGATCTTGTTCCTCTTCTTAAACCTATGCAGCCAACCAGAGGAAGCATTGAAGGGTTTGGGCTCTGCAATTCCCAGCTTACGTGACACTGCTGCGTATAGCTCACGTGCGTACTCCTGCACTGAGCGCGTGTCCACCGCCATGTTGCGTCGCGCCTGACGAACCAAATAACTCACCAGCAAATTTTCCACTTTTGCCAGCACCCTGTTCTGGCAATACCTGATAGATGAAGCACCTGCAGACTTTGTGATTTTCATGTGCTCTTTGATCTTGGCTGCATCCTTCTTGATCGTGCGAATCGTAGATTCGTTGACGCGATGCTGGCGCGCGAGATCAACTTGCCGTGTTCCTTTCTCCAAATCTTGAACAATTTGGTACTTCACCTCGTAGCTTAAGGAACGTCGTGTCTTCTTTGGCTTAGTGCCGCTGGGTCCAGGTAAGGAAAGGTCTCTCTCTGGTGGCAGTGGTGGTCCGGCGGAAGCCATTTTACGGAACAATGGATGCGCGTTTACACGGTGTGGCCTTGAGGGATGAAACTGCCGCGGCTAGGTCAAGCATCGTCTCTCCTCCCTCCCTCCCTCCTCGGGGTGGTCACGTCATAATACTTTAAGCCAATTACAGCTAGCAGCGGAGGGGGGTAGGGATGCATGGCCAATCACAGTCCGATACATCATATGACGTCAGTGATAACGCAACAAAGACACACACTGCGCAACCTTACCGCGCCGCTTGCCCAAGCGGAGGGAGGAGGAGGGAGAGGCAGGCAGGCAGGCGGGCGGGTGGCGCGTGGGGCAAATCTAAAAATAGCGTCTCGAGCCGGACACTCACCGCGTATATGATGAAAAAATCCGTGTTAAGTGAAAGTTCAGCTCTGGCGAGGCACCGCGTATATGATAAAACGGGCTAAGTGAAACCGCGTTAGGCGGGGTAATACTGTACAGAGGAAACAAATAGACAGTGGGCTTCCACACCATAAGGACTAGCGATCTCAACTCTCTGTATCACTCCGTGCTGGCATGTACAGATGCCAGCATTCACAAGCTGAATACATAATATGTAAATATAATAATTCACATACATAACAGGGTGCATAATAACCATAATTACTATACAATACACAGAAGGTACTTAATTATTTTAATTTATTCCTTTAAGTCAGTAACAGGTCCAGCCGCCTTCCTTCTCTATTACCGCCTGTAACCTGTCAGTCATGGAGGAGACGATGGTCTTTATTTGTTGGGCGTTGGCACGAAACAGTTCCCACTGAGCCCGAATGTGGGCCATCAGCTGCTCAGGTCTCCGTTCAAACTCCGGCTCCCACGTGTTGACGATGTTGGTCCAAACATTTTCGATTGGGTTGCTGTTACAACCCTTGCTAGGCCAGTCCAGCCGCTGCAAGTTATCCTGATTCCCAAACCACTCTTGGACAGCTCTAGGATGGGGCCAGGAGGGAAGGGAAAGTTCTTTTCCTGAAGGGTGGGGAGGAAAAAGTTTTGAAGAATATCAATATATTTTTCTGCAGTGAACCTCCCTTCAATCCTGGTTACATCACCCATTCCATGGATGCAAATCCAGCCCCATATGTTGCATGTGACATGACCACTTCATGCATCCTCATGAATAGTATGAATCTGCAGAAATATTGTCTAAATTTTTCTTCAACTTAAATTTCCTGCACAAGATGATGGTATTCGCCAAAGTTTGGTCTTTTCACATTTGTTTCATGTACCCACTTCTTTTTTCTTTTTTTAGACATTCCCAGGGTCATGAGTAGAAATTCCTTCTCTTCCTCATAAAACCACTGAGCATTGCCTTCCATCTTGACTGATGCAATGATACTGAGAGTGTCTCTCAAAATACTGTACATGGCTTGCATAGTAAGCATCGCGACCAAAAATCCACAGCATAGCTAGCATCGCATCCAGTGTGAAACGGCCTTTATGCTCAACCATAAGGAATTAAAGAAGATTACCTGATGGCAGTTGTTGGGTAAAACAAGAATGGTAAGTCCCCCTCCCACCCACCTTATTCACTGCTGCAAACCCAGAGTGCCAGCCCAGGAAATGCAACAAAGACTAGGGGATAGGCACAGCTTGCTGGTCCAATTGCCATTAGGCTTGATGAAAAAAAATTATATGGCGGGATGCCCTTACTAACATTACCTCACAGGGTGGGAACAGTTGACAAAGCAGGGCGCATCTTCCTGAGGTAATCAAATGCCCCCAGCACTACCTGCTTACCTATCTATTGCTCCAATCAAATTGATAAGAAAACTTAGCAAGCCTTAAATACTGTTGGGACAGTACTTAGAAAGCCAGTACAACCAGTGGAAATATTTAAAAAGATACAAAACCCCGGAAATGGTTCGCACACACACACACACTATAATGTGCCTCATTCACTTTTCTGTACTACAGTTCAGTAATATTTTACCACTGCAAGTCTGAAAAGTAAATCTTTTGGAGCTTTGGAGCCTTGAAAAATCTTGAAATTGTGAAATATAAAACATGACTAAAGATAAAAATAAGACAGTACTGTATAGCCAATTAACATATTTTAATGATTTTTTGGCACACATTTATTTTAAAATTTTTCACAAGGGAGGCCTAAGCTGAGGTATAGATAACTATTTTATTTTTTAAATACAGCATGACTTAAATTTCTAACTACCTGTATATTCAAAAGCTTGACTAATAACTGAAAGGATAATGATAATTACACTTACACAAATTATTTTTATTTTAGATTCAAGAAAATCATGTAGAACAGAAACAACAGTTACCAGAAATATTTACATTAATGGTATTTGCGACACATAGCGGGTTCGACTTGAGGAGGGGCTGATCTATTGGCAGAAGAGGGAAGGGAGCCAGTGACTGATTCTGATTCCATTATTGTGTCTGAGAACCCAGGACTGTCGAGTTTTGATTGGTCGGAAGTGATTGGAGAACAAGAATATTACAGTATCTAGTAATAATCAGTCATGTGGAGGGATCTTATTTGTATAGGCTGGAAGGCTGCCAGATCACAAGATGAATTATTAATATGACTACACAAGCCATCATTTGGAGGGGTTCGTTGTATATGGTCATGAGAACACCCAACCATTAGTTCAAGACACTGCTTTTACTAAATGGACTGGGGATTATTGCAAGAGTTGAATAATACAACTTCTGCAAACTTTGAATCCCCCTGAGTAGCAATAACTTTCAAGATTGTTGGCAGTCAGCAAAAGGCGCCAAGGACGGCTTTTTAGGGTGTGGACAACAAACAGACTACATGGCAGCCTGAGGCCACTGGGCAGCCTTGCAGCCTCGCCTCTGTAACGCTGAGGTGAATTCGTCATAGAGATGGCATAAAGGAAATTGTAGACCAAAGAGTATTAAGTTATACTGTTAAACATATGAACAGTACCAACTCTGTTCATTTCAAGATCAAAAGCAAAAGGGCCCTGCTTTTCAGATCTTTATGTCCAAAAAATTTCCAAATACCTTTACCCAACACTCCAGTCAGGAAGTCTCCCGTTAACACCTTCCAGCCGATCCCTCACACACAGGGCAAGTCTGTTCCAAAACAGCTTGCCATGCTTAAGCTCTCCTTTTACATAAATCAACACAAACACATTCATTGTTTAAAACTTATTTACACATTAGGCCAAGATCATATACGAGACAAATGTAATCTGGTTGTAAAAAGATTCTTGCAAAACAATTTATATTTTGGTTAAAATTATCTTATCTTTTTGACTTATTATTTGTTTATCCAATTAGAAATTTTTATCATGTGAATGTGCCGTAAATTCTCGAGCAGTACTTGGGCCTGTTTCCAATGGAAACAGCAGGTTTTGGACACGGGAGCATGGCCCATCCTACTAGAATACACCACTTGCTCAATGGACCTACACCAGCCTCCAACTTTAGTTAAGTAGTGTATGTCACAAGCACAAAGGATTAGTTGTTAATGGATTGTTTTTGTAGTATTTTCTAAGTTTGATGCAGAGATCTTAGACAAGTTTGAGGCAAGGGTGAATGAAATGTTAAGACACAGATGAGTTTTTCAGTGAGTGTTTCTATGGATGACTGAAGCACATCAGACAATCCAACACATAGGATAAAATCAAATACAGTTAAAAGAACGAGGATTGGGCACTTCTACCTACAGCCATAATAGGAAATGGGATGAAGATAGCAAGATTAAAGTATCTTCCATTTGGGCATTTTCTAATAGTGAGCCTTTTAGTAAGACACACAATGCCAGTTCAATTTTTCCCAACTCCTACATGGCTTGTGAAGAATTATGGAAAGGGCAAGACACATTGACACAATATGAACAAATTTTTTTCTTTTTGTACATTTTTTTGTGAGCACCCACCCCAGTGTTCCATTGAGGATAAAGGTGTACACACATCACCACCCTCCCACTGCCATCACCATATTTAGATTGCCTATTCTTCAGAGAAAAAAAATCTGGTAAATTGCTTACTGATTCCCTTTTGATAAGATCTCTCATATCCTGACTTGGTCAGGATTTACATACTGTATTGTAATATTGCAGGTAGCAATTCAGAGTGGTGATGACAGGTGGTGGGCCTCTTGGGCACAATGGCCCCGGCTGCACTTGTCAGTGTGCTCGGATGGGCACCAATGACATAATACACACCACAGCAGTCCCAATACATTATACATTCTTTGCTGGCTTGAGTCTGGGATCAGCACTGCTGTGAATGCATCTCTTGGCATAGCAATGAGCACCTCACATACAGATTACTTGCTATACTGGTGTGCATTTTGTCCAGGCATCTCACGAGATCAAACTAAAATATTAAGAGGGAAGAACCTCAGTGTCGCAAGGGACTCTGCTCTCCCCCCACCAAAATCCTACACACTACCAATTTGGTAAGCTTCATTCCATATTTAGGTACAACCTTGTCAAGCCTACTTTAATTAGGATTGTTTGTAGAATTGTAGATAGTAGCTAAATAAATGCATGGTGTGTATCTGTGAGTAGACATAAGTGTGACATACAGTACTCACAGTCACTTACATTTTAAAAGTTAATACCTGCAATTACAAAGTTTCAGTCTTTAAACTGAATTGGATGAACCTCAAGCTGGCATAAAACATGTGGGTAGAAATGTTAAGATGGGTGAGGTAAGGAAGATTTTGTGCACTGAGGCAACTTTCCTGGACAGCAGAGTCTAAGGTACAAGTGATGCCAGGTTTACAGGTGCACTGCTCTTACATGCTTCTGAGCTATAGGATTTCATAGTCACAGAGTTACTAACCAATAATATTTGTATAATTTGAATTTCCTACACTGCTTTCATTTATCAATTACTATGTAACCTGCAAACTGGCAGCACTAGTTTACAGCTGGTTGGTAGCGACTGACTACAGTAACATTGAAGGCCCTGTGGGTAATGGGTCGTGATGATGACTTATGCTAACAGTTTACCCACACATAACTTATAATATATTCATCACTATGGAAATATCTTTCTTGATTTAAAACCAAATCATGGCAGATGCATGACAAGGAGAAGTTTTGTCATTATTATTCATCTTATAGAAGCCTCACTTTGTAAAAATGACAACAACAACGATGATGTAGAGAAGTACAGTACATTATTCTCACAGCTTAGTTATACCCAAGCTATAGTTCACAGATAAAGTATCTAGAAATGTGGCGCAGATTGCAATCCATTGAAGAAAATTCCTGAGGGTGCACAGGATACTGTTGCTTTGCCAGTGGTACTCCATTGCAGGTTTGTCTAACAATGTTCAGCTTATCAATAACAGTTATTGCACATTTAAGCTTATCAGAGGATGGTCTGTGGAAAGACAAGCCAGAACTCTTCAATGCTGGTGATTTTGGGTGGTGCAAGATTTCTTCACAGAAGATGGTTCTCTTTTTAAAAGAATATAATTTGGCATAATTTACAATTATTTTATAAGAAAATTAGCATGATAGAAATAGCTTTAAGGCTTGTAATTGTTTATCCCAACACATTAAGTAGATGTTCACAGCTAACCATAACATTCAGAAGCTAAAGGAGCACTGATAAAAGTTACTATTAGTCACTAACAAGTGTTTAAAACAAGTGCAGGCCTTAGGTAAGTTGTAAATTAAACCTTAATTTATTTACTGATTGAAACAAAACCACATGCTAACTAATATTATCAGCTCTTAAGAACTTATCATGGCACCACCCAACACCCCTTGGGACGGCTTGCGGCCACAACATTTACAAGCAGCACCTCGTGTACATTTTGATCGATGAGCACGTGGTCAACTGCCATACATGCACATAGTGGCTCGTATAAATGGACGAGTGCACCGAGGTCTGTGCGTGTGTCTGCAAATGGGATTCAAGTCTGTAAGAACAAGGTCTCTCTGTTTCCACATTGAGTTAGTGCTTAAATGAGGATGTACGTAATTTACCTACAATAAAATCTATAAACTAAAAAGTACTATCAGCTAATCATTTTAAAGAATTTTATTTTAGTAGACAATCTGAAGTGAAATAATACAATTGTAAATGGAATTAACTGAGGCATTTGGAGCCAAGGCCATTAGATACAATAATTAAAATAAATAAATCTACAAAGGACAATGAGAGAGAAAAAAGAAAACTCCTATGGAATCAGCAGAAATTAAAGCTACCAGGAGTCCAGTGGAAAAGGCTGGTACCCTGTGTCCAGACTCTACACGTTGTACTAGTCAGTATTTACACTGTACAGTTGAGACAGCCCAGGTGTCCCATCAGCAGAGCCTTGTTGATAATGCAAAACCAACTTATTTATGGAATATCAAACTGCATGGTAAAAGTAGCCAGGCTAGACTCATCGACAGAGGTGGAGTTAAATATATTCTTGCCCAGTGATGTGGTTGGAACTTTTCTTGCATTCCATGGGATGGCAGTCAAAGAGCTGGCAGTAATTATTGCATTCAAAGTTCTTGTATAAAAAAGTTATAACTATGCACTTACAGTATTTTTCAAAGGTCTATCACAGATTCCACTTCTTCAGTTAAGTATGGTATCTCTAGTTGCACATGCTTCAATCTAAATCTCGCACTTCAAAGTTTTTCTGGCAGTAGAACAAATCCACATTCTTAAAATTCCATTTTATAGCACCAACTCTTCTCCAACCTTCTGTTGTGAAAGTTTCTCAAGTTTTAGGGTTGGAATGCTAGAATGGCAGAGAAAATACAAAAAGGTAACCCGAAGCAAACAGCATCTTCAGCCTTGGACTTTTACCAACATGAGGCTGCACTGATGACATAAAATGAAGGAATCAGGTTGAGGATGAGCACAATAAAGTGTGCTAGAGGAAATTTGTGATGGATTTTTTTTTTAAAGGAAATGGAAGTACTGTATAACAAGAGAATCTTAGAGGGAAGTAAACTTTAATGCAATTAAATGAGGAAATTAAGTATAGTAAGAGGGACTCCTGGGCACAGTCTTTTGAGTGGAGATCCGTTGACACATTCCACAGTGGATTGGGGTAGCTAAGATGGATAACTCACTGGTTTGCCATTTTTGACTAACTGTTTGAGTCCAAGTGTACCTCTTCAAAATGATAAATACCATTAATTTTCCAAATTGCCAAATGAAGTTAATGACAATTCCCTAGGCAACTGATTATTAAAATGGAGTTACAATTTGTCAATTATGGGTCACCAGGAGACAGCAGGAGGGTAGGTGTTGCCAGTCCCATACCTTCCTTATTCTCAACAGTATTGTTATTACAAGTCAATGGCCTCGTTTCAACTACCAACCTTGATATCATTTTATGTACTTGCCTTATCAAAAAATATAAACTATATTACTCTTGCTGTTTGTTCCATAGTTTGGATCGAAGCAACTAAAATGAACAACTATTCAAGCATTACAATTTCAATCTGTTATAATGCAGCAATATCCATCTCCGGGAATCTTTTGTGTGACTAGAACGGATTGTTTCCATTATGTTATTCCAACACAAAACACTTACTTATACACAAGTGTAGAAGTAGACAGTTTTTTGTGTTAGGCTGGATGGAAGAAGGGGCTAGGATTTTGGAAAATGAGAAATGATCTTACATGTGACAAGAGCAATTACATATCTGTCTCATAAAAAAGAAAAATATTTTAATATATCTGCACATCAATCACTCATCACTGCTCGAACACTTCTCCTGTCGTTCACATATAATTTATAAAACCTTCTTAAGTTCACATCTTCTATGATAACAATGTGCTTTGTATCATTCTCTTTTTGGCATAAATGACAAAAAAATAAAAATCTAAAACATCATGGTGGGTGTTGGTTTGTTGCTCCATAATCTTGTTTAAAATCAGCCTGCAAGGTTCCTTAGATATCATGGAGAATGGAGAAGAGGAAGCGAATTAGTTTTTTGATGAATATTGAAAAGCTCCTCTCACTAAACCGAGGACTGAGGGTGTTGCTAGGTCTCCTTTGTCAACACAGATTCCTCAAAGTGGACATTAAATTTGCTGAATATGATTTTGCTTTTGGTGGTATTAGCCTGCCTGCAACTCCTCATTCCATGTTATTAAAAACTTGCTCGGCTCAGATCCAACATCGCCTGGTACCACCACAATTCCTGGCTCCTACACACTTGCCACCACCTGAAAAGTAAGTTAACAGGTTACCATTTTGTGGGAAAAAATTTAATTACCTCATAAAAATGTATATTTTCACCAAAGGAACTAACAAACTATTGCTTCCAAACAAAATTACTCCTTTCCACTGAGTTCTACATCAGCTAAAGATCTTAAAAATTTTACAGTATGTTTCATTAATCAAAAGGATTAAGAGTAAAATGATATGCATAACTGTACAGTCATGAACAATGAGTTCTAACTCCGCACAAGAAATTTTAGAACAGTTCTGTATACACTAGCGTATATTTCACGGTTTGGCCTCCAAGGGCATTAAAAAACTTATAAACATGTACTGTAATGCTAATACTGTACTTAAATTTCTTATGAACCAGAGAGCTGCAGTCCAGCACAAGGAGTCCTTGCTATCCATATACAGTACTGTACAGGCACTGTACTCACATGTATAGCAATTTTTACCACCAAGAATTCATTATTCCTCAGCCATACTCAGTTATATGTGCTGTATATAGTAATCCTATATGATTCAATTATTTTGTATTGTATCTGTGCCTTTGACAATTTGTGGGAGGCGATAAAATATTAAATAATATATACTGCACAGTAATTTGAAATATCTGCTAGCAGGTGATGTGTCCACTCATGTTTCTCGTTTTAACACTAATTCAAACATTCCAAAACAATTAACATTTATATCCGAAATGTATGCATCATTTGATTAATTTTCTATACCTGGAGGTTTATGAGGTTAAGTAACAATAGCATACAATTTTATAAGTTGAAGTTTGAAATGCAGTTACAGTAATCATTTCTAATAAACACCATTGACGAGAAAGCTGCCCTGCAGATATAGGTGGTTCCAAATTGTGCCAAAATCTTGATACAGTAGCTCAATTCTTAACTGCTGAATGTGTCTTTGATGAAGTAATCCAAAACTTTGCTATGGCATCATAACTTCAAGATTCTCCCTTGCCTCGTTGTCAGCCTGTATTGCTGACATTTTGAGCTCAAAGGAGCCACAGTATTTTACATCTGTCTTAATAGAACTTAACAAAATCAGAAGACTCAGTAAGCAACTCAGGGGGTCTATCATTGTAAATTGCTGCCCGCATCCATGGGAAGTACTGTACGGTAGAGATAATTGAGCTGAGAACAGTTAGAACAGCTCAAAGGTAGGGGTGTTGCAAAACGTGTCATCAGAGCAGGCCTGACCTGAACTGACCTGACCCGACACAAGGAGAGTAAGTGTATTAATCCCTTGACCATAATTTATGGTCCCGACTTAACAAGACAGCACCTGTGGGCCACGTCCTTCAGTCCTTGGATCCTGGACTAAAAAAAAGTCACATATGACCTCTGCAAGACCCAGGTGACTCCAGGGATCCCATGAAGTCTATGGAAGCCCAGTGACCCAAAGCTCTATGCGACCCTATTTGGGGTCATGACCCAGTGTTTGGGAACCACTGATCTAGAGAATTCAGAGAATCTCATAAATGCATTAAATTAAGTGAAATATTGATATTAACTAATTCTAATCAATCCTATAAAGTACCAAGCTCTAGTGAATGCTAGGCCTTGTTCACTGACAAGCAAGAAACGTCAAGTTTTGAGTTCAACTAGTTCACTTGGCTCAAACACTGATGAGATTAAGATTTTTTTTTTGAGATGCTATATGAACATAAACAATGTGATCCCGAATCAGATTAATGACTCTGTAATTCAGTAATTTATCCTGCTCCCACTATGATTACAAGGAATGAATGAACAACTGCTTTAGTTTAGGCTGCGTTCTTTCATTCTCAAAGGTACGTCAATCTGTGTACATGTAAGTCAATATATTTGTTGAATGAGTTTATTTTGTGCAGTTTAAATAAGCAAGTAGCTCTACTAAGCTTGTTAAGATCATTGGCATGACATAAGCATTCATACTGGAAGAGAGTATCGTTTGCTAACCGACCCTACAAAACATTTGTTAACATCTCAATTTAGGCTGTGTTCTTTCATTCTCAAAGACATTGTATAGAGTTGATGCTACCTTGGGAGGTGGCCTAGAGATAGAACTACAATATTGGATCTCAGGCTGGAGGTGTAGTGAGGTCTATTAAGATCAAAGAAGGTGTTTTATCCATGACCTCTGGTGACCCCCTAACATCAACGGCTGTGTGAAACCAAGACGTGGTTCTCCAGAGAGACAGAGAAAGCTCTTGTTATAGTCAGTGACATTTTGATAACCTTCATATTTTTATGCACTCCCATCATAAAATATGTAAGATGAACACAGCATAGAGGGAATAATCATGGAACAATCATCCCAACCATCGAGCAAGTAAATCATCTTAATTATAGGGCTCGACCAGTACCAGAGGCCTATACTAGATGGACGAAGCAACTCACGGGCAAGAATTCAGTCATAGCAAACTGGAGTGACTAAGGGACCGATCCAAAACACTTCGTGTCCATGGTGCCTATCGGACTCTGAAGGTATCCTTTATCAAATTCATACCCGGAGGTGTCACAAGTGGTCAGTAATATGCCCCTCCACCAAGCAGTGGTGTGGTCTCTGATCACGACAACATGCAACACAGGGTTGCAGAGACAAAATTGCCCACGAGGAAGCATTCAACAGGTGTGTAAACTGCAAACTGATGGGATTCCTGTGTGGCACCCTGGCAGTCCTAAAGCTCCTACACCCCCTCAGCATCCAGACCCGCTATCCAGGCAGGTCTAAAAAAACACTACTGCTACGAGGGAACTCATTACGGCCATCCCCTGGCCCACCCTTCCTGCCAAAGCTCCAGGATCATCATCAGCAGTCAACACTTGATCTGCATGGGGCAACACAGACGTATTGATACATCAGGTAGCTGCCAACACACCCCGTGAACACACACACACACACACACACAAAGTGAAAAGATTAATGAAATAAAACATTTCAAAGTTCAATTTACATTTCAAAATGATATGTTAAAGAACCTAAGCGATACACTACAGAAATAAAGAGCACCACCAACATGAAGCAGTAATGGGAAAATTGCAGTCAAATGGAAGGCACTCAAATGTCAGGACAGTACTAGATGTGGAAAATCAACAGCCAACAGGAACTCATGTCCACGCAGAGGAAATCAGTGATACTGGGAGCAGTGTCACGGAGGCTCCTGTGGTCAAAGACAATGAAGATGAACAGATAATAACACAAAATTGTGATGATGTAGATTGTGACAAAACTGTGTGAGTGTCGTCCGATGAAATACAGCAACTGCTGGCTAGTATATGCTCCAGAGGTGTTTCTAGAAAACTCGGGCTCCTCCTGCCTAAGGCGAGGACAGAAAAAAGATACTATCTTAAAGTGTCTCTAACTTCTTTCCAAATGCTGTACATGTACTGTAAAGTGCATAATAGCCAGTGTTAATACAAGACAGAAGTATAAAGAGGCGAAGGTGATGAGCTGGAACATCTTACCCCTCAGAAAACAATACCCTGACCTCCACCACAAAGTTGTGACGGAGGACATCGATATCGTGTGTCTGCAGGAGCGTCTGCCCAATTATGTGCACATTATCATGATCCTAGTTCTACTCAGTGGTGTAGCCAGTGGTGATTGGTTACTTAGTTCCTTGTTGCTTAATTAATGGTTGGGCTTTGTTGTTTCGTATTATATTATACTACGTACTATAGTAAACAAACGGCCTTGAGTTGCCAGCTGTCTCCAGCAGTGTTCGAAGAATCTTGAACGAGACTGTACATACCTCTCAATCGAAAATTCAAATTAACTCGAAAACTAAAAAATTATGATAGAAACGCTATAGAGTAACGTAATCTCATTTATTTCTGCTCTATGTCCATATATACAACTCAATATACAGATCCATGGACACTTTCAAATATTAACCTCTTATGGTAATATCAAATTACATAAAATACGAGTGGGAACATAAATATAGAAGAAACAAATTGTTACCTAAAGTGCATCGGAAGGCGGCTCAGTAATGGTGAGGCGGCGGGTGGAGATAGTGACCCCTCCGTCACTGGCAGACGACTGGATGGAGGAGTGGTCGTCCGTGTCACTCTGGTTGCTCGCATAACCCAGGATGTCTACCTCATCTGAAATGTAAAATGTTCATGTAGATGATGTATTTTACGCTGTTCGACTCCTGTGACTATCATTGGTGTAAAATAAAATCTTGTAGCAACCTGTACAACAATTACAAAAAAGAAATATGCTGTCTATATAAACATGGCACATGATTAAACAATGAAGAGTGTCAGAAAAAAAAAGATGAAAGGAATGACGCCCCTATACTACTCAGGTGCAGTATGACCATACCAGGAAGTTCCTGGTAGGAACAAAAACCGAGAAGTCGAATCTAAATGCAAAAATTCTCTTACACAATAAAGTAGCGACTGTTTCAGTAAACTTATCTTTACTATCAACATCGATATTCATTCTATGACATTGGATCAAAATCTTGCTAGATTAGTCAGGTAACATAAATAAAATATCAAGCCATTAATACTTTCCCGAGCATATTTAAAGAACCAAAGGCATTTTGCTTTGAGATGATGATAATAATAATAATAATAATAATAATAATAATAATAATAATAATAATAATAATAATAATAATAATAATCGATCAGCTTTCCAATAAAACTCTGTATACAGTACTCGATTACTGAATTTTCATCAACGTCAAATTTTCTAGGTGAAAACTTTACAAAGTTACTCAATTTATATATTTTCACTATTCAGTCCCTCCAAGGCTAATTTTACCATGGAGAGGTTTCTTTAGCACAGAGATGGATATGGGATTATTTATTTTCAATGCGGATTCCATGGAAGATATAATGAAAGATCATCTTGTTGAAGTGAAGGCCACTGAAAAAATCCCAATGGAGTCTGAATCAATGCAGCCAGGCATCTTCTGGCGTGCTCAGCTCTAAACGTTCCCACAGTTGACGAAGAGAGCTCTAGAGGTCCGAGTACCACTTGCGACAGGTTTTCAACGCTCCTACACATCTGAACGAAGGTCTGAAACCGTTTGGATGTTAGTGATGACATACGTGGTGCCATTTTAAGGAAAGAACCTCGTTTCACCAACATCATCGATCAAAAGCAAGAGCAAAAGAGCCACTAACTAAGACTGTGCCGGTGTGTAGTATGGTTGTAATAAACCTATGCATTTACAAATCTAATCCTAATTCTAAGACTTATTTCTGACAAGGGGTACGAAACAATCTTATGAGAACTCAAGAGGTGAAGGGGCACTAAACAAGGTTAAGAACCACTGTTTTAACTGGAGGACGGGACAAGGTCAACATTGAATGTTCCATATGGCAGAGAACAGGAGCATTACAATACCCAAAAAATTCAAGTCATCAATTTGATGGTCATTAGAGTCAGGCGGTCACTGTAATAGCATACGGTAAACATTATTCAATTTCAACCCGATAATAAACTCTGAATCAATTAATAATACTTGATGAACATTCGATTTCGCCAAGTAACAATGTCGACCAAAACTGCCTAGAACTATTTTTTTTAATTGTAAAATTATCAGACGCATAAAGGTTAACCAATAAGATTCACAGTGTTTAAAATTCGAGTCAATCCGAAGCCAACTTACCGTCCTCATACCTACTATATTTAGAGCTGTGAGGGCGGCCGCTGGTCCCTACAGGCCCAACACACCAGCGGGACAAGTTACAAGGCATATGAACACCCTCGAGTCTTCCTTTAACTACTAGTGACTACAGTGCTTTGTTGGGAGAGGAAAGATGAGCACAGTTGGATAGAGAGAGAGGTGGGTACAGGTAGTAAGTTATAGTACAGGCAAACTCTGACGTAAAGACTTAAAGCTTGTAAAAAAAAAATCTAGAAATATTCGTTTAAGATACAGTTAACGCAGTGGTGAACTATTACAGTAATAAGAAAAAAATATAATTAGTAACTCACGTCTAACAGAAAACATTGTAGGGGGAAATAATGAACGCTAAAAACACTGATCACACCGTCATTAAATTTTAGAAAACAGGGGGAAACGCATCTAGTCATCGTCCACTCGCATATATCGTCACCATCTCTAGTTTATTTTGGTGTTTATATCTCGGTAAGGTAGTCAGCTAGAATATGAAAAATAATCGAGGGGTTAAGATCACTGATATTTTTTGCAATCAAGACAATACAGCGTAATTTTTTTTTTGCTGATAATATTTTGTCTCACTAGTTATTTACGTTGTTTGTGACGGGTAAATTAAAGATCATTTTGGTTGACTATATAATGAGTTTCTCCAAAGACGGAAGAATTTTCTCAACAGTTTAGTATAGTACAACACTGTTTTCCTTATGTTCCAATATTTGAAGAGAATCAGTTTCATGGTTAATATAAACACATTACTTTCACTAAAACTTTGAAGCAACAAACTAAACATCTTCATTAAATCACTGTAGGCTGTATTGGGTAGTCTGGGTACGTGAGTGACTTACTGGCGGATCATGAGGACATCGTCATATGATTTCGTCTTCGGATGTAATACGAAAAACCATTTGAAGAGACTAACCCTGATAGACTGTTTAATGCTATAGAGTTACAGAGCCAGCGGTCTTCCCAGTAAATGAAATGCGACAGGCCAACACCGTAGACTTACGTACACGTTAGTAATTTTTCTTTTGTGCATTGTTTGTGTAATTAACATTGGGTATATCTAAAAAGCTGGTCCTCTGCTGCAGCAGTCCCCTAAATTACTCACATTCCCTTCAATTGGTAGCTGTTGATAAAGGTGTCTAACAGCATCGCAAGCCTAAATCACTAAATAATTTTGGCTTTCAGATCTTTTTCATTATGCAAGTGTAATGTTTCACAAACAAGTAAACCAAATTCTCATTCTAAATAAACTTTATTTATTTTCAAACTTATAGAAACGGTTTTTTTTTTTTGGCTATGTTGGGAGGAGGGAGACGCGAGCGTTGCGTTAGAAGTCTCTCCAAAAACATTGTACTGACGCCAGCATCCACCACCAGATGTGGTCTGAAACAAAGACTCAACCTAGTGCCAAACTCGCGCCCTTGAAAACCTCTGCCAGGGTAGAGCTTGCTAGGCAGGACAAAGACTGCTCGCCGCCACCAAATCAACTTATACCCACGCAGTCCCTTTCCCAGCGCCAACCAATCAACGCACATCATGTCATCGTGTTTACAAATACACCATACATACAACAGAAATAGTCCCGAACAATTTTCAAGTACAGATCCCACACAAACGGGTGAAACCTTAATACTATATACTAAGGATAAAATAAATATACAAAGCAGAAAAACAAGATGAGACACCCATGGTAGGAAACATTACGCTGAGAAGAAAATACGAATTGGTGACGTGTGACAACCCCCGGGTACTTACTTAGCCAGCACATGACTTCTCCGTGTTCATTGAAAGACTGTAGACACCATTGAGAGCCCCACGAGTCGAATGTATTCAAACAGAGCAAGCGATCTTACTTCCACAGCCCGGATCATTTTGAGATAATGTTCCACTGCGCACTTCCTGCATAGCAAGCGAGCGAGCGAGTAGGAGGAGGGAGGGAGGGGGAAGATATTAGGACTGGTGGGGAAGAGAAGGAGAGAAATGACTGAGAGAGTGTGAGAGAAAAGGGAATAGGGCAAGAAAAAAAGAAAGCCGGAGGGAGGGAAAGGGAGGGGGAAGGGGTAAAATACAGACCTGGAGGATATAATGCAATAGAGAAGGGACTATGAAGACAAAGAAGAGGGAGAGACTCTGTAGAGATCGGTAATTGAGAGAGAGAGAGAAGTCTTTTACTTTACTTCCTCTCCATTACGAACAAGCAACGAGAGGGAGGGATGAAAGGAAATAATGGAAAGAAAATGGAAAATAGAAGCAATGAATGGAGGATATAAAAGTCTCTCTATTACTTCACATCACCATCTTCTCTTGTTCGCCCTTTTCCACCACATTTCTTCCTCTTGTCCTCTTTTCCATTTATCCTTCTAATTAACTGCAAAGAAATGGCTGAGAAACATGAAAAGTAGATACCGATAGGGAAGAGAAGTTAACATCGTAAAGAAGGAAAAAATGAGGTGTCAAACGAACGAACGATGATGATGATAAGGTCAAGATGGAAGAAAGTAGAGGTGATATATCAAAAGTTCCTTACGTTCCACTGTCCTGATGATGTCCGCCGTTTAAGTGTCCGTCTACGAGACCCCAAAAGGAAACTGTACGTCGCTTTGTGAGCCTTCATATCTTCACGGCACAAGGCACATCCCGCACACCTATGACCTATAATGTTGGGGAAATGTTTTTACTGTCCTTGTATGACCTAGTTTTCCGCTAAATGAGGTTACATACACACACACACCTAGTTTCCGTCCGTTACCTACTACAATTAAATGACATGTATGTGTGTGTGTGTGAGTGTTGATGGGGAACGTGATTGGCCATGCTCCTCGGTCCCCGGCCAATCAACTTGGTCTACAGTATACCATTGACAGATCTTACAAAAAGCGACTCGCTGATAAAGATTCGGCTTTTCGATAAGTGTTTACGTTTACCCATATATTTAATAGTTTTGATAAGTTTCTATAATCTACTGGAGTTAACGGAAGACATATATCAGAGAGAGACCCCAGATCTTGAAGAAAACGTTAGGGTAAAGCTCTGCTGCTTTTAACCCAGCAGCAAGCGACCAAGGTCACGACAAGGTAGGGGGAGAACTGAGCCTTTGGCACTCCTTCCTACCAGATATAGGCACAGGAGTCCGGCTCACCCCAGCTGATACTGGTGAGTGGATACCCAGTGGGATGGTGAAAAGCCGGAGACCAACTGGTACTTTATTTAACCAGCATTATACTTCATAAATCTTTATAATCACAATTCTCAAACAACTGAAATGAGTATCCATTAATACATGCAATTCCTACACGAGTGTCTACTGTTGGCAGATCAGGTGTTAATGGTGAGTGTGTACCTACGTGACGTGGACCAACTGTGAGGTCCATGAGGTGAACATGACTGTGACTCGCGGTGAAGCATTATGTCCTGACATGTCGACCACACACCCACAAGATGCCAGTTGGATTTACCAGC